AGATTGGAGATGCCCGGGGTAGGCTGTGGATGCCCCAGAGGTTGAGACTAGATGATCTCTAAGGTCCATTCCATAACATCCTGATACTGTGGAGGGGTCAGACTGCTGCTCAGGGTGGGAGTGTGACCCAGGGGACCCCAGGGCTAGTGACAGGGACCTCACCCCCCCTTGTTCCCCCCCAGCTCCTCGCGTGAGAGCCTGCCCTGCTCAGCAGCTGTGTGTAACAGGTAGGGCAGGTCTGGGGAAAGGCTGAGGGCCCTGCAGAGCTCCTTCCCACCTGCGAGCCCTGATCAAACACCTCGACGGGCGCCCGGGAGGGAGCCGTGATGTAATCTTGGGAAGCCCAAACAATCAGCCCTTTCATGGCACCACGATAACAATCAAAACAGTATGTAAGGGCCTTGCCATGCAAGAATACACATGCACATTATACACTGGAGGGAATTGAAAGCCCGAGTGAAAAGGGGCTTGTTAAGAATATGTAGCCTGCTTTCATAATCAGTTTGTAAAAGAATAGGCCCTTGAAAACAAGGGTTTAGGCTTATAGAAGGCTTTCTGTGCCTTGACCTTGCAAATATGCAGAGATGCCAACTTTTTTTTTTTTTGCAAGTGAACTTGGAGGCTCCCAGCGTGGGGCCAGAGCAGTTGGCAGGCGAGCTGGGGGTAGGAGGTCCAGCCCTGGGACGTTCCCGGGGGACATGGAGTCTTTCCTTCCAGCTGCTCCTCCCTGGAGCTCCATCAGGATGGCACAGCTCTGCCTTTTCTTCCTTAAAACTGCAGCACTTGGGGTCTGCTATGGGAGAGGATCAAGCAAGGCCAGCGCAGAGCCATCCCTGCACCACTGACTCTCTACAGAGCTCACGTGGAGGTGACACATGTCCTGGTGGTGTTTGTGTTCCCAAAGTGAGAAGGTTATGGAGGGCATTGCTGTCATCACCCCCATTGTACAGGTGGGGAAGCTGAGGCACAGCTGGGACAGGTAACATGTCCAGTGCATGTTGGCTTCTTGAGCCTTGATGCTTCCAAGGTCACCTGAAGCCATTGTGCTCAAAGCAGGAGACAGCCAGGTGACATTCCCAGTCCAGGGCACTGGTGGCAGAGCCACTAATGGGATATGTACAGAGCCTGGTGTTGTGTGCCCTGGGATGTGCTTCCTTTGGACCAACTCAGGTTTGTAGGTTGGGGATGAGCCAGAGGTTATCCCCCTTGTCTGGCTGGACACCAGTCTCTTGGTGGTGAGACACTTGCACAGGTTGCCCAGGGAGGTTGTGGCTGTCCCAACCCTGGCAGTGTTCACAGCCAGGCTGGATAAAGCCTTGAGCAACCTGCTCTGGTGGGAGGTGTCCCTGCCCAGGGCAGGGGATTGGGGCTGGATGATCTCTAAGCTCCATTCCAACCCCTAATATTTTATGATTCTGTGATTCCCTTGAGATGTGCTTCCTTTGGACCAACCCACATTTGTAGATTGGGGATGAGCCACAGGTTATCCCCCTTGACTATCTGGACAGAGATGACCCATCCACAGAATCATTCAGGTTGGAAAAGACCTCCAAAGTCATTGAGTCCAACCTATGACCCATCACCACTTGTCAACTAGACCAGAGCACGGGGTGCCATGTCCAGTCATTCTTTGAAGACCTCCATGGATGATGGCTCCACCACCTAAACCCAGGCCGGATGGGATCTGCTTCCAGCACCTCTCTACCAGTTATCCCCCACCTCCCTCTCTTTAGAGAAAGCTTTCCACTCCAAGGACTGGCTGCGTTGGCTTATTTCCCCATTCCCATCCCCTCCATGTCCCCTATCTCCCCGTGGTCACTTCATCTCCCCTGAGCCAGACTGCTCTGGTGTGTCTTTGTGCATGTGCTTTACAGTGTATTCCCTTGCAGTGGGGGAAGCCTTCCAAGAATCCCCACCTATTTCCGGACTGAGGCGCCTTTGTTCCCCTTGCACAAAGCAGCTTTGATTGTGGTGCCTCTCCCCAGCCACGGTGCCGGCTGCTCCGCACGGGAGCTGCGGGGAAGGTGTGAGCTGTGCACGACTTGGTGGCCAACAGGGGCACGAATGGCCCTTAGAATCATAGAATCAACCAGGTTGGAAGAGACCTCAAAGATCATTGAGTCCAACCCTACCGTCGTTACTAGCCCATGGCACTAAGTGCCACATCCAGTCTCGTCTTGAAAACCTCCAGGGATGGTGAATTCACCACCTCCCTGGGCAGCACATTCCAATGCCTGACTACTCTTTCTGTAAAAAATCTCTTCCTAATGTTCAACCTAAACCTCCCCTGACAGAGCTTGAGTCTGTGCCCTCTTGTCCTGCTGCTGGTTGCCTGGGAGTAGAGACCAACCCCCACCTGACTCCAACCTCCTTTCAGGGAGTTGTAGAGGGTGATATGATCTCCTCTGAGCTTCCTCTTCTCCAGGCTAAACAATCCCAACTCCCTTAGCCTCTCCTCGTTCCACAGTGGGAACAGTGAAGGTGAGTCTAAGCACCTGAACATCTCCCGGGATGCAGACAGAGGAGGTCTCCGTGGTGTCCTTTGGGCACTGAACCAAGACAAAGCAAATAGGAAGGCTTAGGTGTTCCTCCTCTCCATGGTCATGGAGTTGGTCTCATCCTGATAAGGTTACTGGCCCTAGGACAGGCTCAAAAGGCTCCAAAGTCCATCAAATGTTCAAGCAAAGGCATGGTAGGAGGAAGTGTTGAGGGAGTGAGTGATCCGAGTGGAGATCCTAGTGGAGTCCTGGGAAAGGCTCAAAAGGCCCTGAAGTCCATGAAATGTTCAGGCAGAGCTGTCATGGAAGTGTTGAAGGAATGAGTGGTCCTAGTGGAGGTACTAGTGGTCCTAGTGGAGTCCTGGGAAAGGCTCAAAAGGCCCTGAAGTCCATGAAATGTTCAGGCAGAGCTGTCATGGAAGTGTTGAAGGAATGAGTGGTCCTAGTGGAGGTACTAGTGGTCCTAGTGGAGTCCTGGGAAAGGCTCCAAAAGCCCTGAAGTCCAAGAAATATGCAGGCAGAGTTGTGATGGAAGCATTGAAGAAATGAGTGGTCCTAGTGGAGGATGGTCTGGATGAGCAGAAGACCTTTGTGGGAGCATGTTGGGACTGGAGGCCAGGGGATGACGTGGAAACCTTCTCAACCTGGAAGGTCCTTTCTGCTCCAGGAATGTCCCAAGGCAGGAACAAGAAACTCCATGTGCAGGGACATCTGTGGCCCCCCACTGCCAGCATTACACAGTGGGAGCCAACACCTGCATTCCTTGGGAAAACAGGTAAAATCCTGACCTGGCATGGGGCACAGGTTGCTGTCTCCTGGCTGAGAGCTGGAGGACATGGGTGGCCTGGCCCCAGTGGTCCCTGTTGATGTTGAGCACATCATGACCTGTTTGTGTGTGCTGTGGCATGATGGTCACTGCAGCCCATTGCTTGCTGTGCCACCTGTGGCTCCATCCCTATCCCCATCTCTGGCACATGCTGAATGCTCTGGCCATCCAGCACTGCTCTGGAGGTGGTCCAAGCTATAGGGATGGGGCTGCTTCTGTTTTTGGGGAGCCCTGATGGGTTGTGCCTGGGAGAGGAGGAGGAGGAGAGCAGGGACAAACCCATCCATCTGTGCTTCTCCTGCATCTCTCCCCCCAGGGTACATCCCCCTTCCTCCTGCCCCTCTGGGGCTGCTGCAGGGCTGGGGGTCAGCGTGGGGCTCCCTCCTCCCAGCAGGACTGGGGACAAGGGGGGACTCTCCACCCTCCCCACACAGACCCCTCCATTCACACCTCCCTCTCCCACCCCATTAATTTGTTGTGGTCGGGGCCAGTAATAGCTGCTTTGTGCCGAGGCGAGGGAAGGAGGAAAAAAACCCGAGCACAGACAGCGGCTCCAGTGTTTTACACAAAGGAGGGGTTTCTCCCTTCGGCCTCTC